AAGCTACTGAGAGTATCTTGCCCGCACGGCAAAGCCTGGCAAGCTACTCATGACGTATCCCATATGCCAAACACAGTAACAAGTCTCACTATGTTACTGGGCCCACTCGAGCAAATCGATGAACAATGGGAAGACAGTGAATTCAACAAAACATTGGCTTCTGGTTGAATGGCTCCCTTAATTAACAGATGTAATAAGGACAAAGAAAACATAGAAAAAAGAAGATACTTCTCCACCTTTCCAGATTTGTCACTCTCTTCAATGACTTGTCTCCTCTTGAATAGCTTGTGGAAAATATGGTTAAATCTCTTTAGGGCCCTCTTCCCTCTCAGAGGAAAGACAATGTAGAGAATGGTTAATAGAGTGGTTAATTTATGTTTATTATTTTAAAATAATAAATCCAAAGGCTAAACTTTTGTTTTGGTGGGGAGGGGACACATCCAGTGGTGCTTAGGACTAATTCCTGGCTCTGTACTCAGGAATCATTCCTAGTGGGCTTGGGGTACTGTATGGAATGCTGGGGGTCCCACCCAGGTTGGCCATATGCAAGACAAGCACTCAGCCCATTGTATTCTCTCTCTCTCTCTCTCTCTCTCTCTCTCTCTCTCTCTCTCTCTCTCTCTCTCTCTCTCTCTCTCTGACCTCCCGAGGTTGGAAGAAGGGATAGGAGAGAGCTTTCACTTGAAAATCTAAAGCAACTCCCATTGCCTAATTAGCGTAAGATCAAGAAGAGGAATCAAAACTAATCAAACTCCCATATGAGCCAGGAAAGTAATAGAAAAAAGAAAAACTGGGTACATATTAGTAAGCCAATAGGGCATTCTTTACTTACACACACGCACACACACAAAAGAATTCTTTTCTCCCATTTGTATTGGTCTCTCTTCCGATAGAGACACGCACACATAGAAATGTTTATTGTGCGTAAGGTAACAGCTGGGGAAGAGTGCTGGGAAAGGCTAGCCCCGTGCTGACAGGCTATCAGAGAAAGCACATGGAGCTGTGACAGCGTCGCACAGCCGACAGGTCTTATGCACACTGGGAGTCGGGGCCGCCCAGGTGATTGCTGTTTGTTTGCAGGAATGGAAGCCCAGGGCTGATCAGATCTTCTACCATCAGCAATCTTCATTTCTGTCTAAAATCTTCCTGATTTGGATTCCAAGTTTTGAAAATATCAGGTGGGAGGGGGTGAGGTGGGACAGGGGACATGAAACGAAATTTCTCCAGGCCAGATGTGGCCTCTGTTTGGGCAGCTGCTTCCCGGCTCTAAACGCTGCGATAACACAGCAGGCAGGGCGTTTGCTTTGCACGCAGTCGACCCAGGTTCAATTCCCAGTATCCCATATGGTCCCCCGAGCACCACCAGGAGTAACTCGTGAGTGCAGAGCCAGGAGTAACCCCTGAGCATCACCGGGTGTGACCCAAAAAGCAAAAAAAGAATTAAAAAATAAAAAAATAAATGCTGCCTAATTTTGTAGCTCTTCAAAAGCTACAGGCAGTCTTATTCTCAAGTATATGCTGAGGCAAGTTTCTCACTCCTACAGACCCTTCTGAACATGCCATGTTTACCCATATTCATATACTTAGGTCATCTACAGTCTTTCTCTCCAGCTTCCAAATTCTACTCATCCTTCGGGGCATGCTCAAATTCCGTCTTCCGTATGAGGCTTTTTTTTCCAGTGACTCTAGCCCTCTCCTTTCCAAACAAAGTCTGTTATCACTCATAATGTCTAGACTAATACTTGGTGATGGTTTGATAGAAAAATAGTTCGGTTTCTTCAAACCAAACACCAAGAGAAATATGACCTGACTTCGAACAACCAAATCTTCCAAAGCAGAATGCATCATGGAAATTTTTACTCACCTATTACAAAGAAGGAATCTAATGGTGAAAAATGCAAATAAAATAGCAAAGCAATGGCAAGGGCCTTTGTTTTTTCTACAGTGATCCAGTTATCCCTAAATAATTACATATTGACAAATCTTTTGTAGAAAATAGCAAGCCATTAAAAAAACTGAGGAGGGGCTGAAGCAACATTACAATATTAAGCAGTTTAAGGTGCTTGCCTTGCATGGGGCCTACCTGAATTTTTTTTTTCTTTTTGGGTCACACCCAGCAATGCACAGGGGTTACTCCTGGCTCTACACTCAGGAATTACTATTGGCGGTGCTTGGGGGACCATATAGAATGCTGGGAATCAAACTCTGGTCTGTCGCATGCAAGGCAAATGCTCTACGCGCTGTGCCCTAACTCCAACCCCCTACCTGGATTTGATCCCCAGCATCCCATATGGTCCCCTGAGCTCAACAGGAGGGATCCCTCAGCACAGAGTCAAGAGTAAGCTCTTGGCACTGCCTAGTGGGGCCCAAACACCAAATAAAAATTTAAAAGAATTATAATTTTAAATCAATTAAGATTATGTATTGTAAAAAAAAAACAACCTAAAAAATATTTCAACAAAATTGACTCACACTTTCTAAATTATTTGGCTAGTAACAATGAAAATGTGACAGAAGTTTGTCTTAGAATAGATTTACCAGTACTTTATTTCTCAAGATTTGATATTTAAATTCAGGACACACAGTGAGAACACTGTGTGTCCTGAATGTAATGCCTTGAGCTGGGAAGAGCTCCAGTGTAGTGCTGACCTTGCAGTCTGAGACCCCGAATTCATCGAGCCCTTGAATGTGGCCTGAATACTTCACTGTCTGGTTCTGTGTCATTGGGAGTAGCCTTGAGACCACCTGAGTACTGCATGGGATGCCCCGTATTTTTTTTTAAGTAATGCACATATAAGAGCTTAAAAAATATGCAACACAGGGCTTAGGAGTGCAACTCACCTGGAGAACACTTGCCTTGAGACCCTGGGTTTGATCCCTGGCAATGCAGAAATAAACAAGTCATAGAGTAAATATCCCCTGATGCTGGAGCGATAGCACAGAGGTAGGGCATTTGCCTTGTGTGCAGCTGGCCGGCAGAGCCAGGTTCAATTCCTCCGCCCCTCTTGGAGAGCCCAGCAAGCTACTGAGAGTATCTCACTTGCACAGCTAAGCCTGGCAAGCTACCTGTGACGTATTAGATATGCCAAACACAGTAACAACAAGTCTCACAATGGAGATGTTACTGGGCCCGCTCGAGCAAATTGGTGAACAATGGGAGGATAGTGCAGTGCAGATATTTAAATGTTTTTGACAAAAAACAGTACAATGTTGTTGTTTTATACCTCTGGTGTTGCTGAACCATGCCCACCATGCCCACCAGAATGCCAGGATCCTTCCACCATTATCCCAAGGCTCTTTCCCTCTCACTGCCCATCCCCACACTCTCAGACCACAGTTCTACTGGTTGGATCTCAGGGTTGTTTCTACTGGGGACAGTTTATTCATGCGTTTTGTTTTTTTACACTTCTCAAACCAATGAGATCATCTGGTAAGTTTATCTTTTCTTTCTGAATTACTACACTTACACGACTTTCTCTGATTCTATCCAAGTTGCAGCAAACTGCAAAATTTCCTTTCTCACAGCTGGGTAGTATTCCACTGTATACCTGTACCACAATTTCTTTATCCACTCATCTGTTGTTGGACACCTGAGTTGTTTGCAGGTCTTGGTTTTGGTAAATAATGCGATGAACATAGGGTTCATACTTCTTTGGATTAATGTTTTTGTGTTTTTGAGTAGATGCCCAGGAGGGGAGTTACAGTTTCCCAGTATTTTATATGTGACTATTTTCCTTTGGAATAGATTACAACCAGTTTTTCCTTACCCTCTCTGAAACAACAGTTCAAATTGATAATATCCTATCTTTGTGGTGCACATTAACCAGCAAAAACAACCATAGAATAATAGAAAACTGTGACAATTTCCTGAATAATTCATGCCTTAAGATCAGTGCTGTCTCACTTATCAGCTTATATCAACAAAATGCTTTTTGGTCTGTCTTCATATACTTTACGTAATTCACATAATTGAGTGATAGCACAGCAGGTAGGGCATTTGCCTTGCACGTGGTCAACCCCGATTCGATTCCTCCATCCCTCTCAGAGCCTGGCAAGTTACCGAGAGTATACCCACATGGCAGAGCCTGGCGAGCTCCCTGTGGCATATTCGATATGCCAAAAACAGTAACAACAAGTCTCACAATGGAGATGTTACTGGTGCCCACTCGAGCAAATCCATGAACAATGGGGGGACAGTACTATAGACAGTGCTCTTTCATAGAATAGAAAATCCTCCTATATTTTAGCTGTAAGAAAAAATATCATTCATTTACCATTGCCGCATATCCAGATATTGCTGTCCAGTTCTGAGGAACACATACACACAGGTACCTACCAACATCAACCCCCATTTCAGATCCACTTTACTCTTTCATAACTCTTACCCGCACCTCCCAACCTGTTAGTCCACATATGTGCACTAAACTGGCCAGACAGGGTTTAAGGAAAGGGAGATGGGGAAGTTCTTGAACAGTTAGCATGCCTTGTGAATCTCTGCAGCATGTGGGAATTGGTAGTGCACAGGCAGGAAGAAAGTGAATTCATGAGCAGATTGGTAATCTGAATTGTCTTCCAGATATTCCTCAATTTCAATCTGAGTAGATATAAAGATTTGAAGTGTCTTACATTTAAGTTTCTCTGTTACATGACAGGAAGCTGAAGACAAAAGAATTGAAAATGTGATATAGCATGATTAAGACAATTTTTTAATGAGGCTGGGATTTTCATCATAAATTGACCTTTCACTGAAAAAAATTTAAGTGAAATTTCTTATTTGTTGATTGAGTGGTCCTCACATTCAAGTAAATGATGTCCTGGAATATTTTGTGATTCCTTAACATAATGTATTTTATATTATTTTAGCAGTGTCCTACAGCTTATATCGAGAGCAAACTCGATATTTTTGCATCACTATCACCATCTTCATCAATTATAGAAGACTACAACCTTGAAGAATTGCAAAAGAAGTCGGGATTAAATAATTAAGAATGTTGCATACATGCAGTTGTACTGGTTTAATTGCAGCAATATGTTTTATTCAAGGGCAATCCATGAGGTCAGTATTGAATGCTTTTTACCATTCATTTTAAAAGCAATAAATCTCAGTAAACCATCCTTAAGAGATCTGTCCAAGAATACTTTTGGCTCTTACTGGTAGAAAACATATTTTAAAATGGAAAAATAATCATTATGAAGCATAGAGAGCTTTCAACCATTTCTTTGGAAACAAATCTTGATAATAGCAACCATTCATCATAATACAAAACAGAAAGAGGATTAATTTACTGTGGCATACAAAGTCTTGCCAGTTTCTAAATGCCCTAAATAGTTTCTCTGAGATAGTTTGCATCGTTTAGGCCTCAAGGAAAACCAAAGCCCCACCTCCAGGTTTGGTGGCAAACAAACTCTGCTTCTCAGGTGCTAATCCTCGATTGCTTCTCTGATAATAAGCTTCATGGACATTTGCTAGGAAGCTGGACAGCTTGTCAGCAGGCACTATTGATACTGTACAGCCACCCCATCCTGCTCCGGTAAGTCGAGATCCTTGAGCCCCAAACTTCCTGAAACAATGAGAAAAAAGAAAAGAAATTAAAACCTTTAAGTGCAAGTGAGAACAATTTTCTTGGTGCTTACAGAACACAGAAGCTGCTCAAGTATACATAGTTCAAATGCCTGAAATTATAACATTTTACACTGCTTAAAAAAGCTTATCTAAAATTTAATTGTACCTAAAACTGATACTGGTTCTGACTCTAAGCCCTAAATGTTAGCAGTATGCCAAATTGATGAGGGCTCCACTGTTGTCTTGATTTAAAAAAACAACAATAACAAAAAAAGCTCCACTTGAAAATTTAAATAACAAGCCTAAAAATGATCAGGAGAAGATGTCTGAAAATTTTAAAAATAAAATAAAATAATTAATTAAAAATTTAAAAATTTTAAAAAATTTAAAAAAATTTTAAAAAGAAGAAAAATAGGCAATGGACATGATCAACATTATAAATCAGAAACTTTTTCCAAATATGGCATACAAAAATGTGAAATGCAAAGTCACTTGTACAAGTGAGGACTTTCTCCAGTGGCTATTCTTTTTTTTTTTTTTTTTGCCTTTTGGGTCACACCCGATGATGCACAGGGGTTACTCCTGGTTCTGCACTCAGGAATTACTCCTGGCGCTGCTCGGGGGACCATATGAGATGCTGGGGATTGAACCTGGGTCAGCCCCGTGCAAGGCAAACGCCCTACCCACTGTACTATCGCTCCAGCCCTACAGTGGCTATTCTTTAAGGCTGGCTATTCTACATGAAAGAATTGGTGCCCTCCAAGAGACAGCTGAGATTTGTGTTGACTAAGTTTGTTAACAAAGAACATGTTATTAAACTCTAGGTCAATTTGTCTATTTAATATCTAATGGGAAGCGATACAGACCATCCTGCAGATGGGGGTGGGCGGGGTGGGGATACACATGCCTCTCCAGGTTCCTGTGTCTTTGAGAGCTGACAGTTCAACTGAGAAGTTACCATCAGACAAAATGTGTGATTGGAATGGAAAAACTCTATAATCCACCACACATCGTCATTAACCAGGTACAGTTTCAAACCTAAGATTTATACCAAAGTGAAAGACCCTATACAAAGAATTGTTCATCTTTAAAAGGTATCTGGATTTAAAAAAAAATACGTACTTCCAATTCTTCCTGATAAAATTTACTACAAATTTATATCCAACTAAAAACTCTAGGGGTTGGAGCAATAGCACAGTGGGTAGGGCATTTGCCTTACACGTGGCCGACCAGGGTTCAATTCCCAGCATTCCATATGGTCCCCTGAGCACTGCCAAGGGTAATTCCTGAGTGCAGAGCCAGGAGCGATGCCTGTATATCGCTGTGTGTGACCCAAAAAGTCAAACAAAACAAACAAACAAAAACCCTCTATAACTAACATAGCACAATTTCTCCGTTTTCCCATCTAAATTAGCAATTTTTTCTTGGAAAATATCAGTAGACCTTACAGGCATCAGAATTATTATGTAACAGTAATTAATTTTACCCTCAATGATTTTCTCTATTGATTTCATTTATCATCTGTTTCATTCATTAAAATGTGGTTTTCCAGTGAAAATAGATATTTAATTTAAAAAGCTGCTTGTGAATAAATAAGGATTACTCAGCTCCTGTCCTATGACACAAAAATTTAACTGAGCCTATTGTGTAGAAAAGTTTCTTTGTCCCTGGGATTCAAGGATTATTCTGAGTTCCTACACTGACAACAAACCAGTTTGCGATCTGGCACTTAAACACACACACACACACACACACACACACACATACACACATAGAGACACACACATGAACCTTGGACCCAAGCAACCTGCTGCAGAGATGGCTCTGGACTTTGCAATAGGCACTTTCGCCGGACCACTCCAGACGGGGGCAGGTGCCATCCCTTTGCCTGCTCCCTAGGAATCCCAGCGGTGGCCATCTTCTAGAAGTCAGTGACAAGCTCCAGGTATGGGTGGCAGTGGCTGCAAACATCAGGCCTCACGGGACAGGGGAGAAGTGGGCCCTTCTCCTTCCCTCAGCCCCAGTGGGACTCTGAGATGACACCCACATACAGCCACCATCTACATAAGCTCCCACACGACCATGATTCAGAGACACACACATGAATCTTGGAAGCGAGCAACTTGCTGCAGAGATCTCTCCAGACCCTAATTATTAAAATTTTAGAATTCCTAGAATGTGCAGCCGCTCTCTGCGCAACATCATATTTTATCCATAACAAGCAATACAGAACAAATTGTCTAGCGTTGCCTTTTTGGCAGGTAAGAGTGGTGGTGGGACTGGTATCAAAATATCGAATGGAACCAAAGTAGCGCTGTAGCACTGTCCTCCCGCTGTTCATCAATTGCTCGAGCAGGCACCAGTAACGTCTCCATTGTGAGACTTGTTACTGTTTTTGTTTTTTTTTACATTTCTTTTTTTTTTTATAATTTATTTCTTTATTGCATCACTGTGGGAAAAGTTACAGAGCTTTCGGGTTTAGGTCTCAGTCATGTAAATATCAAACACATTTCCCTTTACCAATACTTATTTTTAACCGCGAACCCCAATAGAACCCCACCTCCCACCCCTCCCAATTCCTGTGAGGCAGATGAGTTCTAGTTAATACTCTATCTACTTTGACTAGATACATTGTTTCGATAGAAGATGCACAATTATTGTTTAGAGTTTACGACCCCCCCCCCCAATCAGACATGCTGAAAAAGCGTTATGAAATGATTTGATTTCTACAGCTGGGTTCAAGAATTAAATGTTGTCACGGCCGTGCGGTTTTGGATTTCTGCTATTTTACTTATTAATCCTGGAAGTATTTCTATTAAAAGTTAGATAGTTAAGAGATTGGTTTCTGTGCTCTGGAGTCGTGGCCGTGCCGGAGAGCCGCTCGTGGGGGGCAGCTGGTGACCTCGGTCGGGCGTGAAGGACGGCCCATTACGCCCCCCTTCCCATGAGGTCCCTGCCGCCCCCACCCCCGGCTCAAACCTGCTGTCCACAAGGCTCCCGTGCGGCCGCCATCTTTCTTTCCAGAGAGGATTGGGCGAATGGGTTGTTACTGTTTTTGGCATATCAAATACGCCACGGGGAGCTTGCCAGGTTCTGCCATGGGATACTCTCGGTAGCTTGTCGGGCTCTCTGAAAGGGACAGAGGAATTGAACCCGGGTCGGCTGCGTGCAAGGCAAATGCCCTACCCACTGTGCTATCGCTCCAGCCCAAACCAAAGTAGAGAGAGAGTACTGTGCAAATTGTCTGCCACACAGGCAGGGGAAGGTGTGGAATGAGGGGGCTGGGGGGCAGGCTACTGAGAATTTTGGTGATGGAAAACATGCACTGGTGAAGGGATGGGTGTTTGATGATTATATGACTGAAGCTCAAACATGAAAGCTTGTTACTGTACCTCACACTGAATCAATAAAAAGGGGGGGGACCACATATAGATCATGCTGGAAAAATAGCACAGGGGCTAAGGTGCTTGTCTTATACCCCATTGACTGTGATGAAATCCCCAGCACCATATATGGTTCTCTCCAGGCACTACCAGAGATGGTTCCTGAGCATCACAGAGTGTGGTCCACAGACCCAAAACAAATAAACAACAACAAAAGGTCACAGGCAGTCACATCAAACTATTTATTCTTCTGGAAGCTGCTAAGAAAAGCTGAGGTGTCACTAAAACATTTCTGGAAGATCCTAAAATTTAGGAGTCCACACTGACTGTGGCATGGTCTTGAAAACAATGTGCTTTCTCTACGCGACTTTCTAAGACCCCAAATCTGTATTTTGCATGGTCTTCACATGACTTTGAGACATATTTTCTTACACTTTCTCACGTGAATGGTTTTTGAAAGCTGTGGTTTCAAAACTGAACCTAAAGAAAGCTGAGAAACTAACTGGCTGCAAAGCACATAGGAATTGTGCCAGAGGGCCTATTTTCCTGAGTCTCCTGCCAGTTTCCAGAGAGCAGAAGCCAGAAGTCTTTCTAGGTAAATGCACTCACTTCTGAGTCTCCAGAGCTGCTCTGTCACCACCCTGCCTACTGCAGAGGAAAACGGACTGGATTGCATCAACTGCATGGTCTGAAATCATTAGGTCTCAGAGTCCCCAATACAGAAAGAGACGCACTATTATAAATAACCTTCTGCCCCTGAGTCAATGACACTCCTGATCACAAATCGGAGGGCTGCCCTAGGAGCTAGTCAGCAAGCAGTCCACCCTGCTCTCCACACCCAAAGTAGAAAGGTCCTGTCTGCAGACATATATTCAGAGTGCTTAATATGCCCTTTGGGATATGCCATGAAACTCCAAAAGAGATCCAACAGTTAGAGAAATGACGAATACTTGAGCCAAGTGTGTTTTCACCTTTGCATGTTTTCCCCTGGGAGAGTGGGGAAGACATTAAATATATAGCTCCTGAACTATTAGGGAATATAAGAGTTATGAAAACTCAAATCCTGAAATTCCCTGAATACGATGTGCAAGGATTGATCAAAACTGCACAAGCAGGGCTGAAGTGATAGTACAGCGGGTGGGGTGCTTGCCTTGCATGACTCCAACCAGGATGCCATCTCCAGTATCCCAGATGGTCCTCAATAGGAGTGATCCCTGAGCACAGAGCAAGAAGTATGTCCTGAGCACCACCAAGTATGGTCAAAACAAACAAACAAACAAAACACAAATAGACTCTACCTTAAAAGAAAACCTTTAACTACATGGGCTGGAGCTATAGCACAGCGGGTAGGGCATTTGCCTTGCAAGCAGCTGACTGGGCCAACCCAGCTTCGATTCCTCCACCCCTCTTGGAGAGCCTGGCAAGCTACCGAAGTATCTTGCCCGCATGGCAAAGCCTGGCAAGCTCCCTGTGATGTATTCGATATGCCAAACACAGTAACAACAAGTCTCACAATGGAGACGTTACTGGGCCCACTCGAGCAAATCGATGAAAAAATCAGTGACAGTGACAGTGACAGTGATCTACAACACAGATTAAGAAGAAAGACGGATAG